TTTTCTTTCTTTTTTTTTTTAATTTATATTGTGGCGGTTGTTAAAAATTGGAAGCTGGATTTACAAGTAATTGCTTGTTTTGGGTTGTTTTGTTTACTCACGTTATCAAATTGAACTTTTCTCCATTGTTGCTTCTATTTTGAGAGAGGATTTGGACAATTCAACTATAAACGTAGGGAAATTAGACGGTCCCGTTATGGAACCATTCTGCCCGGGTTTGTAACTATTACATCAACTATCCACGACGGTTACATGATGATCTGACGGTTACAAATCCTAACAGAATGGTTCCACAACGGAATTATAGCATTTCCTTATTTAGAAAATGCTACATGATGATCTAACTGATACAAATTCCAACGGAATTGTTCGTAGCATTTCCCATAAAAACTATAATAATAATAATAATTTCATCAGTTCGTTTTCTCATTTGCAATGATTATGAGAAGGGCTATTTGCAACTTTCATGGGTTTCTTGTAAGCTGCAAGTGAGTAGGAAATATCAAACTTTCTTCTAATATTTATCAGATTCTTGAACGGGGATTAAATATGCTTGTGAACTTCATTTCCTGTGTACTTTGTGTTGTGACTTGTGAGAACTGAAGTCCAATATATACTGAACACAATTGTGGCTTACTGGGAAGCATCCTTGTGTTAGATATTCTAAGGCTGATCCACTCATTAATGTCGAAACACAAACTATAATACCTTCGTTTTATTCAGTCGTAAATTTCATTCGCAGAAGAATACCCCGTTTTTCCTTGGTTAGTTCACCACAATCCATCTTTTCGATTTCGCAGGTTGTGATATTTTTTTGCACATACAGAGGCGAGTGACATTTAGCCAAAAACCAAGAACTTGCTAAACGAGAACAGCCATCGATGCTTGGTTTATGGTATGGACTCTCCCTATTTCGAATATAATGTCACGGGCACCGATTTATCCTACCCTTTCCGAATCGTTGAAATTCGGATTCAGAAGCTCGCCTAATTCGCCCTTCTCTACCCATTTCGAGACTGAGACACTCCCCACATTGGCCGACACTTCGGACCAGCAAAGTTCGGCTGACAATCTTTCATTAGCCACACCATGTTCTCCACCAAATTTAAGCAGCAATAGCATAAGAACCCGTCTTTTGGAATTGGAAAGTGCTCTCATGGCTCCGGATGCCGATGAAGACATCACCTCGACATCATCAAATCCATTTCTTGGCGAAAACAGTCCTTCTCAAATAAAAAATCTTGCCATTTTACACGATTTTCGTCCGAACAACCTCAAACACATCCTCATCGAATGCGCAAAGGCCCTCCACGAAAACAAACTCGTCGAATTCGAGCAGCTAATCGCGCGGGCCCGCTCATCCGTTTCCATCACTGGAGACCCGATCCAGCGGCTCGGAGCCTATCTAGTCGAGGGTCTAGTCGCGCGCAGGGAATCGTCCGGCACCAACATTTACCGAGCCCTCAGGTGCAACCTACCCGACAGCAAGGACCTTCTTTCTTACATGCACATCTTGTACGAGGTCTGCCCGTACCTTAAATTCGGCTACATGGCAGCCAACGGGGCGATAGCCGAGGCCTGCAGGGGCTCGGACCAAATCCACATCATTGACTTCCAAATCACACAAGGTACACAGTGGTCGACCCTTCTGCGGGCCCTTGCGACCCGACCCGGCGGCCCGCCCGCGGTCCGCATCACGGGGATCGACGACCCGGTCTCAAAATACGCACGTGAGGACGACGAGCTGGTGGCCGCCGGCCGACTTTTATCGTCACTCTCCGAGAAATTTGGGATACCGATCGAGTTTCGACCCTTACCTGTATTCGCCCCAAATATTAAACGGGCCATGCTCGATATCCGGCCCGGTGAGGCCATAGTGGTGAATTTTCCGCTGCAGCTGCACCACACGCCGGACGAGAGCGTGGACGTGTCGAACCCGAGAGACGGGCTTTTGCGGATGGTGAAGTCGCTTTCGCCGAGAGTCGTGACTCTGGTCGAGCAGGAGTCGAACACGAATACGGCACCATTCGTGCCGAGGTTTGTGGAGACTTTGGATTATTACTCGGCTGTGTTCGAGTCGATCGATGTGGCTATGGCGCGGGATAAGAAGGAGAGGATAAACACGGAGCAGCATTGCCTTGCGAGGGACATTGTAAACATTGTGGCGTGCGAGGGGAAGGAGAGGGTCGAGAGGCACGAGCTTTTCGGGAAGTGGAGGATGAGGTTCGTGATGGCCGGTTTTCAGCAGTTACCGTTGAGCGGGTACGTGAACTCGGTGATCAGGGGTTTGCTCGGGAGTTACTCGGAGCATTACACCCTGGTGGAGAAGGATGGGGCAATGCTGCTGGGATGGAAGGGGAGGAATCTGGTGTCGGTGTCGGCTTGGTGCTGAGGGTGGACCTGCATTTGGTGGGGGAGTATAGATTTGTTCTTCTGATCTTTTCATTCTTATTTTTCTACTGAAATCTGGATTTGATGTTGCAATGGAGCTTGTTCTTATGGTATGAAACATTCAAATTAGTGAGGAATGGTTTGTTTTGCAGCTCAGCAGTCTACTTTCAATTTGTGAAATTTCCCATTATTATCAACATAAAGAACTGCAAATTGAGGAGATTTCATGTTTGCACACACCAAAATTTATTAGTGTTTAGTTTCCATTTGCCCAGCTTAGATTTCCATTGACCAGATTTGTGGAGTGGGTTTATATTTTTCTTCTTTTATAGGCTTTTATTATGTAGTGGTTAAGTTGGTTTATTTTATAGAGGAAATTACTCCTCACACGTTCCCGTTGTTTGCACTTTTATGGCCCCATTAAACATATTAGCGAATTTACAAAATTTATGAATATTATTTGCACACATAAGAGGAATTTAAAGGGATGAGAACAGATTTAGTGGGATCTGTTATCAATTAAAAAATTTATCCCACTTTTCATACTTCATTACTCCACAACTGACTCAAGCTTCATCTTCTGCAGCGGATGGAACGGCGTGGCACCGGCGGGTGGGTTCGGCAACTAAAGATGACGAATAACTCCTTCTTCTCTTCTCCTTCTTCTCTCTCTCTCTTCCCATCTCTTTTCTTCTCCTTTTTTTCTCTCTCCCTCTCTCTTATTCTTCTACATGTTTATATTATGAGATTTTTTTTTCTGTTCGCAGCTTCTCGACAACCTGTTGCCGGAGAGAAATCGAGTGTGATGATGGTGCAATCCGCGGCTTGGCCAAGTCTTCATCACCAGCGACTTCTCGAGCGCGATGATGGTGTACGAGAGATGACTTCCGACGATGGAGGTAGATTACCGATTGTGGAATCCATATCCTTCTGCCCGCCGAAAAATTCTCGGCCGACCGAGGCGACGGCACCGAGATACGCCCGTCACCGTCGAGGAGGGGAATAACCGACGTTGTCGAGTGAGCTTGCGGATGTAGAAAAGAGGGCCATGGCTGCGGTTTCGGCTCTTAATTTGGGTTCTGAAATGAGAAACGATTGAACATCGAGAGTATATTTTATGTATATGTGTGTCTCGATCTGTCACTGGCTTGAATTTCAAAATTCTCGAGTGTATATCTTATGTATATTTTATGTATATGTGACTTCTGAAATCGATTTTGAGAAACAATTGAAACTCTAGTGTATATTTAAAGTATATTTTACGTATATGTGTGTCCTGGTATGTCGCTGGCTTGAATTACGAGAATCTCGAGTGTATATTTTATGCATATTTTATGTGCATTTTATGTATATGTGTGTTGTATATTTTTATATACTTAACATAAACCTGAGATAAACAAAATCAATCACAAATTATTATTTTGTTAGTCATATAATCTTGATATAAACAAATATGAAATAATACTCTCTAAATATATACGGACTATAAACGCAATATATATTTCCTATTAAAAAAATTGAACATATACTAAATATAAACGTAATATATACTGCATATAATAAACTGAAAAATAAACTAGAAAATTTACTGTTAAAATTATTTACAAATTTATATGGAGAGATAATTAAAATTTAATGGGAATGAAATAAAGAGAAGAGAGAGGAGAGAAGGAGAAAATAATGGAGAAGACAAAGAAAAAAAACGGATAAATAGGGATTAAAATGCATTGTTTACATAACATTTATCTTATACACAATTTTCGGATTAATTGTCCGCCAGTTATGGAGTACCAAAACAGTTGACCGTTTATAATCCATCATTTACTTATTTATTTAGTATTTACACAATTAAAAAGGATTAATATCACACATATGCAAATAAGATTGGAAATGTACAGATTTGCAATTATTTTGTCCCACGCACGGTATAGATGTAAATCAGCCTATTTTATAAGCTTTACCTATGCTGTGGGTTAGGCTGATCTAATGGGCTTTAGTTATAGTGGGCTGATTTGAAGTGATCTAACTAATACATGTAACAACATGGGTTAGGCTGATGTAATGGGCTTTAGATATTTAGTGCAGACATGGCCGAATCCCAGCCCTACTGGTCTCTGGGTTCGAAATGGCGGACCATGAACCGGCCGTTACCGAGGTACGCATTGGGAACACGACCCAGCAGGCCAGGCTGGGCCGACCCAGATCCAGGACCCGCCATAAAAAATAAAAAAATGAATCGTTGATTACCCGGCCCGGCGGATAATATTTTACAGATACCCGACCATGAACCAACCCAGTTTGAATCAGGGCCTAAGCACAGACCTGTCGACCAAGGTTCTAACCGAGCCGGGTTCGTGCCGGTTCTGGGCGCGTGACCATGTCTAATGCAGTGAGATGATTTGAAGGTTTATTATTTTTTGATGCCCAAGTTCCATACTTTCGTCTGTCAGTCCTGGACTCTTGTAGCTAGTCTTTTGGCTAATTTGGAAGGTATACCACGGGATGTGCCGTGTTGTCAGCCGTACCCCCTATATACCCTAGCGTCCTAGAAGGTCTAAAAGGTTTACTTAATATATGCAATGCATGTGTAGGGCAGGCTCGGGGGGCTAGGCCAGACCAAGTCGGGTTGGGGCCAATTTTAAGCCTGAACCTGCGCCGCTTTTGTAAACAGGACAAACCCCATCTAAACTATTTTGAGAGCGAGACAGATTCGACCCATCCCAAATTATGCAAGGCGGGGCGGGGCAGGGCGTGTTCGGGCCAAATTGTCACCCTTAAACATAAGTCTACATACATCTATTAAATATTCTCATACTTCAGTTAAATTTTTACTATTATGAATATGTGATTTTTGGCATTGTGGTTGTTTTATAAGATTTTGACGAAGTTATTTGTCCAATATCAGGTTTGTCTAAATTGTAACCCTTAAACACAAAGTCCTCATAAATCTATTAAATATTCTCATACGTCTAAATATTTGCTATTATGAATGTGATTTTTGGCATTGTGGTTGTTTCTATTATATTATGACCAAGTATTTTGTCCAATATCATGTTTGTTATACATACGTGTAAGATCCTTTTAGTATAAAGAAGTCTCTTGTCTTTGAGTTGCAATTGCACTTTATTTCCTTCTAATTTGTTGGTTTTCTCACCATAGTTGTATTTGCTTTGTGAGATTAGAAAGTTGACATAGCGGTTCTGTGCAATATATGTCGAACTCCTATATCAATTCAGTGTGTCCTTTATTTTTTGTATTAATTTATTTTGGTTTATTTTCGCTTGTAGTGGTGTTTTATATTAATCGTTGTGGTATTTTTTTTCCACTTTGCGCTTGTTGTACCCCAACACTTGGTACTAGAATCGAAGGTTCGCCTAGCCTTGTTTGGTGGGGCAAGTTGAGTTCGAGATGGCCAATGAGACAAATGGCATATCATCCTCTTCATTCATTTCGCCAAAGACGATGACACTGAACATTTAGTAGAGATCTTTGATAGTTATCGAACATTTAGGCATGTGGCAAAACGTGGTGTTGGATTGCTGCTTTGAGCTAGATGCCAACATCGCTATTGAAGAAGAGAACTCATACAACATTAACGAGAATACTTTAAAAATTATTAACTGTTTGGCAAAAAATTCATTCGTGTCTGTTTGTATAAAGAGCATATGCATGCACTCAAGATGGTGACTCTACGCACACCCTGTAGAAGACTTTGAAGGATAATTCATTCATAAAGAGTTGGTCAGAATAAGCTCCTCATGAAGAAGTATTTATTCCAATTAGAGTACTCAAATAACACATTGATGATCAGTTCGAATAAACAAGAGACGAAAAATGCAACACAAAAAAAAAAAATTAAAAAAAAAATGTAATATTGGCTACAAGAGAATCGAATAACTAAAATAAGAGTAGACGAGGAACCTCAAGTTCCAACATCAATCATTATATATCTTAGGCTACCATTACACTTTTTTTTTCTATTCTCTCTTGTAAGTGAATCGTAATTTGTGTGTTTGGGAGTATTCTTCTATGATAACATCTGTGTTGTTTCATTGGATCATTCTACATCACCAAAAAATGATGATATAAAGTTTGACATAATGACACATATTAATGATTATTTTACTTTACACATCACATCACTTTTAAAATCACCAAAGTTACCAACCATTTTGGTCATCTTTATGTCACTAAATTATGTTAAAGTAGTTTATGTAAGAAATTTAACGGGTATATCCATAACTATTAGGCGGAATTGAATAAACCCTAAGCATGTAATTCTATTAATTCATAGAACATGGATCTTTGCATGTATTAAATTGCACATAGAAACTTACAAGAATCCAGCTATAGTCCTTCCCTATTCATCTATGATGTTGATCTTTCTCCAATCTCGAATGATGGATTTGTCTTTCCCTATGAATTGTTGTTTCTCTCTCCTGCGTCTCTCGTCTTTCCATAAAGCCCTTGATGTTGAGAACTTTATTTCGTATGAGATGGGAGAGAGGGGTATGTAGTATATATAGGAGGAGGAGACTTAGAGTCCTAATCATACTACCATTCCCCATGTTCTAAGGTAATTTAATGTCCAAGTTAAACATCACACATTGGACTCTTTAATATTAGAACATTAAATAATCTATTAAATACATATTCATCTTTAATAAAGTTTGACTATTAATTCAATTAGATCCAACTAATTATATGGTCCACAATAATAGAATAATATATAAAATATTATTACAGTTTAATCCTTAGGTAGCACCCATACTACCTCGGTGAACCAGTTAGAATGGTCAGCTCGAGACAACTAGTCTAGAGAAGTCTCAACGCTTAGTGACGTGGCTCGACCTCGTTAAGGAAGGTCGGTGTGATAGCTCGAGAGACAACTCAATTATAGCTTGTGGATAGAGATTGATCTCATAAAAATGAGCTAGGCTAGGATTACACACGTAGCGACCTGGAAGAAAGCTCTAAAGACCGCATAAGATAGGTTTAGTGGTATGGTACGAAATACGACAGATGTCAAGAGATCAGTGCTACAACTTAAAAACCTAAAAAGCCAATTTATAATTACGAGCGAGATCTCTAAATTGAGCGTCAGATGTTTTTCGGTAACGGGTTCCGGAGGTAATTTGCACTTCAAATCCTATTTTCTTTCTTATCATTTTGATGCGTCCTTTATCCAATCACTCTTCTATTGTCTTATAGTCTCTTAGATACATATCCACCGAAAAGCAAACACAAATACGTTTTCCACTTGCAAACTAATCAAAATATTCCCCGGAGTTTTTACTTTCCACTTGATCAACTTTTTGATCTTATACCTATATAATCGCCGTCGTCTCGGACCAATAAAACAACAATCAACGGACAGGATACTGTCCACGTGTACATCTATCCGACTTCAATGTCTATCTCAAATCC